GTTTATAGAATTAAAGAGAATGTATTATCACGGAAAAAAACGAAAGCAACTTAAACAACTTACATTGAAAGAAATGTTTAACAAAGTAAACAAATAAATATTAAGCTTTTTTTGTAAATTTTGATACCCTTTAGATCATAATTGTTCTTTATTTCATAAATTACGGTTTCATATTTTTAATTTTATAATTTCTGCATGCCATCTTACCAGATTTAAACTGATGATCTATAATCCGGAAAAAATCGATAATCCGGAATCGCCGAAGTCCCGACGAGTCCGGATTACTTTTGACTGTATTTGATTATTGTAATCTCCAGAAAATTTAAGCTGCTTTATTCTCTGGAAGTATTTAAAACTATAATAATAAAATGTCCAAATCTTATAAATGTTGAATTAGTCTGCTTCTTAAAAATCATCTAAATCTGGTGACAAAATTTTCACCAATGAAAATTTTAAAGCTAGAAGATATCTTATTTAACTCTTTCTAGCATGCTACTCTTTAAAGTTGGAATTTTATGAAAAAAAATTGTAGGCAGTACACTGAGCCGCATGAGCTGTGATAGGTGAGTATTACTGTGAAGCACGTATTACAGTAAAATACTTTGTCTATGATTTAAAAAAGTAGAATCTGATCTCTGTAGCAGATTTAGCATAATTCAGGGTGCACCACGAGGAGACCTGCTCCTCTACAGCCCCCCCCCAAAAAAAAAAAACCGTTGAGAAAAAAGGAAACTCTGAGCCATTTACACAATTTTAAAATTAATTATTGACTAGAAAAAAATAATTATTAAATATATATACAAATAAAAATCTACAGAAATCAAAACTAAGCGAACTATGCATGATGAAAGCAAAAGAAAAAAAGGATCTGCTCTCGCTGAAAATCAAATAGCTAAGTGAAAACAAAGCACCGGGGTCTTCAAAACCAGAAACAAAAAATTATAAATAAATCTGCGCTTTCAGCCTCCCCTGTGTTTGAAGCACTAGACCAGATTTTGTGACTCACGGCCACGTGACAGGTGCTACCAGTACAGTGTGTTCAGTTCGAACACACACTACACTGAAGGCTTCACTATACGCAATATTTCAAAGATAAAAATTAAAAGTAGTACAGAATAGGCAGATTAGCATATCAACAACAAAATTATATAAAGATTTTTTCATTGATGTTCTTTATATTTCAAAAATCATCTGAAACATTTCTTTGAAAAATCAGTGTTTTTAAAAACAGGATATATCTCAACATTAATGATTTACTTGTGTGGTGCTGCCATCTATTATTCATAAAAGAGATTAAAAGTAAGCATTAGTGTAGTTTTTGTGATATTTATCGATTATTTTCAGTGTCTAAAGAGGGAATATTTTTAGTGTGTTCACACCGCACACACTGCGCTGGAAAGGGTTTACTTTTCATTATTATATTTTATCTAAGCTTGTATCACATTTTTCATTTTTACTGTAAAAAAGTAATTTTCTGAGAAATTAGTTCTTTATGATTTAATTTTCTTATGTGTTAGAAATATTTTGTGAAATCTGTTAAAAAAAAGCAATGATCTCAGTGTGTAATGTCATGTACAGTTTGTTTCTGATTGCATGTCTTAACCCTTTGCGGCACAGTGTGTTCGGTCTGGACACACCTAAAAATTTCCTTTTGTACGCACAGAAAAATTGAATGAAAAAGGATTTATAGGTTACTATAGGTTACTATGAACCTTTATTTATAGTAGATGGCAGCTCAACACAAACCAGTCCATATAATTTAGCCATGTTTAGTTTTTTAAAGCCCTCATTTTTCAAAGAAATCTTCCAGATTTTTTTTTAGGATATAAAAGGAATTGTTTGAAAGGAAATTTCTATGTTATTTTTTTCGCTGTATGCTAATCTCATTATTCTATATTAATTTTAAATTTTTACCTTGAAATCTTGCCTAAAATCAAACGGCGAACCCTAGGTGTGTCCAGACCGTGCTCGCCGATAACCGAGGACAACTGAGAGTCTGTATTCTTTGTTTCTCCGCATCTCATCGGTCAGTTCATTGACAACAATGCTCGTTTCAGCACTCTTTTCGAAGCTCTTTTCAATCACTGTGCCACTTTGGGCCCATCCACAGAATTAAAATGATGAGTGCTATCTTCACAGAATTTTACTTGTGTACTCCTTTAGGCTTAATTAGATGGCCTACCTTTTTTTTTTTTTTTTTATCAAAACTCCAAACTTTAAAAAGTAGCGTGCCAGAAAGGGATAATTTACTTTTTTGTTTCCTGCATTGTTGAATTTCGTGCAGATAACACGTTAAATTTTTGCATTGATTTCCTTAAGGTGCTGTTAGTTTAAATAAATGCCACCTACTTCCGCTCAGTTGATTTGTGTATATATTCCTCTTGGAGCTGTATCTGGTTTTGGTTCCATCTTAGAGGGCAAACTTTTTTTTTTTTTTTTTCAATTCTGGGAGTTAAAGTTGGTAAGAGGGCCGAATATCTAACTTTTGGTGCTGTCTGTTATCAGGTCCAGGTCCAGAAATGTATGTGTTCATGTATGCATTTATCTATGTATGTATATGCATATGCATGTGATTACATGCATACACTTCTGAATCGGGTCCTGCTAATAGAAGAGTAACTTTCTCTGCATTGAGTTTTATTGAGAAGGAAATATAGGAAAATTCTCTTTGTAAATGAATGCAGTTTTGCACAGTAGGAATGAATTATTGAAGATTAAGTATATGCCAGATAAGTTTTTTTTTAATATAGTGGGAATAGAAAAAGATATTTTTTGCATCAATGAATTGCTATTGTAACGATTGAATACAGCTTATAGTTTGAGCATTATGTTACATGAAAATAAAGTAGAGTGTGGTCATAAAAATTATCCTCGATGTAGGAACCTTTAATGGTCTACCGCTCAACCAATCTAAATGAAATTTCAGATATTATTACTTAAAGGTATGCACTCAAGTTTGCAGTGATTAAAACAATAGAGCTCTCACAATTATGGTGACAGTTGAAAAGTTTTGAAATTTTTGAACAGCAACACCCACTTTTTCCCTGTGCAGATTGATCAATGCATTGAAAACCATAAAAGGTTTTGGAATGATGCATGTAAGATAAAATTAACGGCATAAAGCATTTTCAGAGTCATAGGAAAAGTAATCGTAAAATCGTACTCTGACACATTAAAGAGCCAATGTTTGTTGCAATTTATTAATGTTTTAAAGAATAAAAAATTTTTGTGGATTGAATATAATAATTTTTTTTTTTTACATGTTAAAGAACCTCTTGTTTGCCATGGATAAGAACATATCAAATGTAAGAATGAAGCTTGATTGATACACTTTTGAAGAAATCACATCTTGCTAAAAATATTGATTGCCTCTTGATTTTTCAAAGTCAGATTAGTCTTAATCTTGTCTAACCTTTTCAGAAATGTCAAGACTTTCATGGCAGCCTACTCTGCTTCTGGCAATGAATATTATATGCAACAACAATTGGTTATTGATTCTTTTTGACCTTGTCACCCAAAATCTGTTTTCTAGGCTTATGGACATGTATACATCAGAAAAAAATCTATTGCTCTGGCTTACAAATATGAAGAATTAAGAAATAATGATTAACAAGCACTTCTTAAAATTAAATTCATATGATACTCAGGTGTTTCAAAATACTGAAACTCTAACAGGGTCAAAAAGTTTTTATTTGATAAACATATTTTAGTAAATGTGTCATTTTATATTTTACACAACCACTAGGTATGAGAGGATACTCAACCAAGACACTTTGTATATCTTTTTCACTTGAGGCCACATTGTGCAGGTCCGTTTATTACATCGAAAGAAGAGGTATTATAGTGTAGTTTTAGTTTTATCATAATTTGTTGTAAATAATACATGTAAGTTATATATTCTTTTTAATGCCTTAGTTTGGTGGTAAATAACTTTTGCAGCATGTCGAAATGTTAAGTTAATGAGGAGGTACTCTTTAAACCACTTTTTTTCCATTATTGAGCTTCTTATGTAACTAATTGCTTTAATTTGTAGCAATTTAAGAAATAACTAATCTTGTTTTGTTCCCATTTTCATCTTAAGAACCGTAACTCAAAAGATATGCTTTTTAACATTAGGGAACAGGAGGTAAAATTGTTTCATTAGTGTTATTTGAACATCTTTTTAAAAATATATTCACAGACCTGGTTGAACCTGGACTATTTGTTAAATGACAGTAAATATATGTTTAAGTGCATTGTATAATAAAACATATGAAATACCTCCTAAGATCCTAATTTCACCCCTAAATTGGAGGAGCTATTGAGATTACATGTTTATGACTAAAAGAAACTCTTTATCAGAAAATGAAAGGAGAAGCTTTGTTTACTATTACACTCTGGGGATCAAAGCTTCATTGTTGTACATAAAGCAAACATATCTAAGGAATAAGACCTAACTCTATGAACTTGATTCATAACAATCTTCCAAACAAAGCTATTAGACTTGGCAAAAACAGAAGCAACCTGCAGCATTACCTAGAGACACACTTCCATAAACCCACTTTTGAAAGATGTATTTCTGTGCATAGCATTTTTCTCAGTGAGCAAATTGTTTCAGATAACTGAGCCATTTGGAAGGAAACTAGATGAGTATCAAAAGTCTTTATTTGGTAATGGGATTAATAATGGATTTCTTCTTGGCATCTAACTCAAGTTCTCAGTTGAAGATAGTATCTTGAGAAATGGACTGGAACTTCTGGAAAATATTGCAGCCCCTGTTTCTGAATTTGATAGGTTTTAAGGGTCATTTTCTTTTGAGGAAATCTAAAGGAGAGTTGCATATAGCTCATTTATTAAATATGTGTTATCTTGATATACTCAGTGTGAGTAAATTTAAATCGCTTACTTTACTTTCCCCTCTTGGTACTTTTGCTTACTTTATGTAATTTTTGTAATTCTTAGCATTAGATGCTAATTTTGTAAAACTGATTAAATTAAGAATTTTTCATTTGCTTTCCCAGATGGTATTTTGGAAAGATCAAGAGGATAGAAGCAGAAAAAAAACTACTCCTAGCAGAAAATGAGCATGGAGCATTCTTAATTCGTGATAGTGAAAGTCGTCGCAATGACTTTTCACTTTCAGGTGAGATAATTGCTTTTTAGTATGAGACAATACAAAAAAAAAAAATAGTTTTATGTCAGCCACATGTACCTTTATTTGTGATGTCACCCTAGCATGTCTAGATAAATGTTGTTTATTCGATTATCCTTAACTCCATATTGTCTAAATGAGTAATACTTAGGTACTAGCAACAGATTGATTGGTTTATATCTGAGTTCAGTTCATATGACTTTAAAGTTTGTTATTAAAGCATACATCAGTGTATGTTGTCCAGGCACTTGCTAAATGTTTTCATAAACATGTCAAAATTGTAAACCGAGAAACTTTGCCACAGAAATCAATCTCACATGCTTGTCTTAAGATTTAAAAACAAAAAAATTAATTAATATCAATTAAAAAAAGACTGTATAGGACTATTTAAAAAAAAAGCAATAAGGGTTTGATATTTTTTGTTGATAGAAATGTTTTTACCTGATATTAGTTATGCATGTTATAAATAGCATTTTAATTGCAATTGTGTGTAGCAAGTGCAATGTATCACGTTATGTACATTTTTAATCAAAATTTGAATGTGTATAGTGAAATAAAATGCAGACTATTTCTATTATTATAACAAAATTCATTCTAGAAATGTGTTATTCAGTTTTGTCAGTGGCCATTGACAGTTAAACTTTACATAACATAGGCTTTTTATGTATTACTATTTTTAACATTCATTTGTGTAAAACCATTAAAATGCACAAAATAAAAATCTACCGACTGTAATAAATTCTTGTAAAAGGTTTTTTTTTTCAGCTATTTGTGTAAGTTAATGAATGTTGAGTAAAGTTATAAATATCCAAAGTTAATTTATATAAAAAAGAAGCACGCCAGGTAGAAATTTAAATTTCAAAATTCAGTGTTAGATTAATGTTTAAATTGTAAATTAAAATGCTTTTTGATAGAGACAACCATGGAGCTCCTTTTCTTCAAGCAGCAAAAATAATCTGGCACCAGAGATCTATGATTTATTTTGAAAAAAAAAATTCCTTTCTCAAAGTTTTGATTTTTGTATTTATCTAGAGTGTGTGTTTTGGGTATTCAAAATCTGCATTATCTGTATACTTTTGTTTCTTTGATGGTATAAATATTCTATAGTTGCCTTTCAGGTTTTTTATCCACAAATGTTAAAGTTTCTGCCAATACAGAAGTATTGAATAGTTAATTATAAGTTAGCCATGTCGTTTACATGTAAAGCAAACTGACATGCACAGTCCAATATGTGTAGAATTTTTATTATCTGTAGATTTGAAAAAAATCTAATTACATTTTGAAAAGCCATTTAGGCTGCTTTTCATCCAAGTGAGCAGTTTTGAGAAGCTGGTTTTTATCACTGATTGAATCTGTGCTTTTATTTCTGCATTTTCAGCTCACATTTTCTTTTGAAATGACTCATATCAGCAGCAAACATGTAAGCTGTAATGAATTGAAATAGTTTCTGTATATATAAACAGCAATAATTTTGTGTAAATTATCTTTAAAGATCTAGAATTCCATGCTGTTTTCCTGCATATGAATAGGCTGACTTTACTATAATCAACTGACACTCCCTTCTTAAAATGTCTCCATGAAAGAGGCCAGCCTTTGAGTATTTTATTCCAATTAACGAACCAGAATTGCTGAAAATAATCTTAGGAAGCAGAACTTCCTTTCACAATCATTATAAAAATGTGATTATCTGAAGTTTAAAAATGCTAGCAGGTTCAAAAAAGTTGAGATTTCATCAAGTGTTTTTCTAAAATGTGAATATTAGCAGTTGTACTTAATAACAGTTTTTAAATTTATGGATGCAGTTTAATTCATTGTGCCACAAATCCTGGTTCGTGAATTGAAGGAGAAATATTATAAAACTGAAAGCACAGAAAATCATGATTTTTGATGGTATTCTTGATCTCTAAATTTTAGAATATAGAAATATATTGTATAATGCAAATGAATATAATTTAGACTGATATAGCTTATTACTGTAATATCATGACAGTTAGGTAGCATTCTCTTGCATGATAAAGAAAGATGTTTGCACAAATTATGGGTCAAAAGTGGCAACTGGAAAAATTGCTGAACACTAGTAATATACCCCAGATTTACCTTCCTATGGAAGAATTGGTTTCATGGAATTTTTTGCTACATGCATGTAGTTTTCTTCATAACTAACATGAATGCAAGCCAGTTTGCTTTAAATATTCCTCCATGAAGGCATCTATCCTAAGGTAGATAGTCCTTGCATACTTTGCTATAATAAATGAGCTTGCACATCAACAATTATTGATACACCTAAATTACATGTGACTAAAATATGTATATTTTCAAATTACAGTCAAAGATGGTGATACTGTAAAACATTATCGCATTCGCCAGCTAGATGAAGGTGGATTCTTCATTGCTAGAAGAACAACTTTTCGCACACTTCAAGAGTTAGTTGAGCATTACAGCAAAGATGCGGATGGTCTTTGTGTCAATCTCAGGAAACCTTGTGTTCAGGTATTGACAAATTATCTCTTAACTCATTTTAAAGGTAACAAGATCTGTAAAAAGTTATTAAAATTAATTTTATTTTAAAAGCTTACATGATAAAGTTTCTATGCTTAAGATTTATCTTCAGAATGTTCTCATGTCCCCATGTGATTTTAAATGGCCAGTCAGACTTCTTTGCAACAAACTTGCAGAATTCTGTAAAAGAATTACATAACATTATTGTTACAAAACAATAATTAGATTATATCCAATTACTGTTTTGGTGAGAATGTTAGATATTCTGTATCATCTACAGTCCTAAATATTGTAATTATAAATGATATCTGTTGAAATAAATCAAATATTAATACTAAAAATATGTACATACTTATATGCTTCCATTTCACTGAAATGTATTACACTCAATTTTTGCAAAAGAAATGTTTTTTCTATATTGTATGGTTAAAATATTTTTACTACTACATTTTTTGCTGTGTTTTTGATCTTTTGGGGAATGAAGAACATTTTTCTAGTGTATTTCCATCAAATTTGAGACAGGTTCATGCTGTTACAAATGTGCTAATTATTTTTATTGAAGATCTTGTAAATTCAGTTTCATTCACGTACTCATTTTCTTCACCTGCTTTGCTGTTTGATGTAAATTTTAACATTCTCCGAAAGTTCCACATCATAAGATTTTCTGAATGTTCAGCATCATTGTTTAGAAAAAAAGAAAATGACTTAAAAGCTCTTTAGTTGATAACTTTTAAGTTCCTAGTATTCTCATACTAGTAAACTATTCTCAAACTTCAGCTCCCTGTCTGATGCAGTGGTTACAGATTGAAAATCATAGTCAGTAAAAGAAAAGCAGTTTTTACATTTTAAAATTTTTGTTTAGCATCTGGAAGAATCAACAATTTAGTTACTACCAGAATATTTTTTTTAGTTCCCTGTAGCCATATGTCTATAAAATTTCTTTTTGTATCTTACCATCTCATTCAGTCATTTAGTCTTACATCTTTATGTTCACTGTATACAGAGGGTTAAAGTTCTGTTTAGAATTTTATACTTATATCTTTTTTTTCTTTTTTACTGGAGTTTCTGTGCTCTGGGGATTTTTCTTTATCTTGCACATCCATTCTTTATATGAAATAAAAAATTCAGTTTTTCTAAATTTCAAAAAGCGTATTACAGAAATAGTAATTATGCTAAGTTCTAATTTGCAGATAGCTGAATCCCCTCCCCCATTGGCAGGCACTTAGCTGACTTAGGCTTGGCCACTACTAAGACCGAAATTGGTGGCCACTTTATTGTTGGAGCACCTAAATAGTTGGACCACCATTATCTCCTATAAAAAAACAGACAATTACAGCCATTCCTTCTTGATTCAAATCCCGGGCCCTTCAGTACAACAGTAGGCTGCCTTAACCACTATACCGTGTGGGCAGTAGACAGCTAAAAGAATCTTTTATCTTTTTCCTTTCACATATTGATTTAATACTAATATTAACTTCTAAAACATAAAGCAAAGTTGTACATTCAAAACTTTGATTTAATAGTATGTATATTGTTTTTAAGGCTACCTCACAGAAAAATACTTTTAAAAAGATCAATCAAGCATTTTGCTTATCAAAATAACCATTTTTTATTGATCCTTTCGTTTTAGTGTATGGTTGATTATGTGTGCATGCCCATGCCTGTACACTCTCTTTTGGTGTGTGTAATTGAAAGAGAAAGAGAAAAACAAAAGCATTGAAAAGTAAGCTTAGAAACTGCTTTTCATCAGGGAGTGTTCAATATGTGTCACTTATGTAAAATTAGGCAATCCTCTTTAAGTTGGTTAAATCAGATACCACTTTAAAGCTAGGTATGAAGTTAATTTCAAACTGAATGAATGATTTAGTCCTGTGGAAATATACTCAGCTGCTGTCCAAAACTGAGAAAAGCATCAGAAAGCAATAACGATAAACGCGAGCATCAGTTTCCGAGAAAAGCATCAGTCATCTAATATATCGCTGAATTCAGTGATCTTATATTAGATGTTTAGTATTGGCAAGTGTGTAAAGTAGCTGAAAGTAATCAAAATGTGAACGATGATCAGTAGGTCATACCTCAAGATTGGAAGTGTAGCTTTCTAAAATATAATAAATATTCACATTTTATATGAAATGTGTGACAGTCATGCAGTTGACCATTTTCTCCTAGGCATTCTTACTTCTGTGAAGGGCATTTTCACAAGTTAAGAAAAATGTTGAATGTCTGGATAGTACTGTAGAACAATTTTGAGTAAGCCCACCAGCGGCCGAGCGGTAAAGACGCTGAACACTGGTAGTTCGGTCTGAGGTTCGAATCCCGCGAACGGGCTGGCTGCATGGGCGTTTTCGTGGTTTTCCCCATGTGTAACGTGTATACGAGCCAGTTTCCCTTAGAAAGTCCTCCACGAAAGGCATCCCTCCCTTTAGGCAGATAGCCCTCGTGTGCTTTGCCGTAATTAAATACACCACACCAATTTTGAGTAAATGTTTGTAATGAACAAAACACTAAATAAATTTCACTAGCATGTTTTTCAAATTTTGGCAATCACTATGAAGAAAAGAAACATGGTAAAATCACCACTATTATCTAATCATAGGTCAGTCATGCAGTGACAGAAGTGTATAGACTTTCACTGAAGGTGACACTCTCATTCTTTTGCAGTAAATCTTAGTGTATGAACTTTAATTGGGATGTTAAAATTTGGAGCTAATTAAGTTGAAATCAAGTTGTACAAATGAACCACTTTGTCCAGCCTGAGATTAAAAAAATTCCAGTAGGTAGAATCAATGAAGCAGATCTTAATCTTCATATAAGATCAACTTGGTTATCATCATATCAAACACAAGAGTAAAATGTAAAATAATTAAAAGATCTTGACCATGCTTTCCATAACTCCAGATTATGATGAAAGGCCTTTTCATCTTATGCACTAACACACAGCTAGGTTTGGAGGTGATGGTAGGTTTGTTATACAAGTGGAAATTTAACTCATTGTACTTGATGGCCCACGCTTCTAAATTTTAATTTTTGTCCCAGGCTGAAAGCAAGAGGAGTAATTTTTCATCACCCTTCATTCAAGAATCCAACTGAAAATTTTCTCCTTTTATAATGTTAGGACACTTATTTTGAAAAATAGTACTTAAGACTGTAAAAACAACATTTTGAGACACTTAGTATGTTAAAAAAATAATGCAAATCAATTTTATGTTTACCACTAAGTATTTTTGATCTGTGTAATTTAAAGTATTTATTTGTGTTGATATAGTATGTTAATCTGCATGAATGATTTCATTAATAAAGGTTGAGAAACCAACTACTGGTGGACTTTCACACAGTACTAAGGATCAGTGGGAAATTGATCGTAGTTCTCTAAAATTTGTTCGAAAACTAGGCCAAGGCCAGTTTGGGGAAGTCTGGGAAGGTCTATGGAACAACACTACTCCTGTTGCAATTAAGACTTTGAAAACAGGTATTACTTGTTATTAGTTTCTTTATTATTCATGTAAATTACTGTCAAAATTGATTTTTGTGCTTCTTTTATAAGAGCCTTATTTAGTAATTAAGTTGATTATAGACAGAGAATTTTAAGTGCCATTAATTCTTTCTTTGTTATGGCTGCATTTTTTATTATGGTCTGTTGCCTTCCCAGATGATATAGTGGTTAGGAGAGAAGAGAATGACTTGAATCCTGCGATGTTTTGTTCAGGTCTCGATCCCAGATAAGGCATAAATGTTTGTAATTGTAATATCTTCGCAACCTGGGGACAGATAAAATTTGTTCAGCTGGAATGTAATGGTAGGATAGGAAAGTAGAGATCCTCATGTCTCCTCTAACATGCATAATATCTACAATTTGAAATTGTAAACTATAAAATAAAAATATAAATGCCTACAACTGAAACCTATTAAATGTAACGCTAAGAAAGCTTCTTTGAACCAAAGTGAAAGAGAACTGCTCTAGTGAGAAACCAAACAGCTAACTGATAAAATTATCCTTGATCTTCAGAAAATCACCCAACGATTTCTTAATTGATAACCAAACCTCTCATCCAAGAAAAAAAAAAAAAAAGATGCGGACGCACCTTTCTATGTTAATGAGCTGACCAATGATCTACAGAGAAACAAAGATACAGCTGCCTCTCAGTGATCTAGACTCGCAATGAGCCCAGTCTGGGAACACCTTGGTTTGCCTTTCAATTTTAGACAAGATTTCAAGGTAAAAATTTAAAACTAATATAAAATAAAGATATTAGCATACAGCCAAAAAAAATAACATAGAAATTTCCTTTCAAACAATTCCTTTTATACCCTAAAAAAAAAAATCTGGAAGATTTCTTTGAAAAATGAGGGTCTTAAAAAAAAAATAAACATGGCTAAAATATATGGACTTTTTTGTGTTGAGCTGCCATCTACTATAAATAAAGAAGGTTCAAATCTTTTTTCATTCAGTTCTCTGTGCGTACAGAAAGAAATTCTTAGGTGTACCCAGACCTGCCACACCGTGCTGCAAAGGATTAAAAACGAGCATCAGACATTGTTAATGTGGTCTCATAGTTCATCTTCATTTTGTAGAAAATGGAAGTATTCAGCATCATGTCTTACAAGTGCTTGACAGGTGTGAAGGTACTTACGTATTAACGCAACCAGGCCAAAATTCGCATTAATCACCAAATTTGGCAACCCTGCAATCGCCAAATATGGCAACCCTACGTGTTATACGTAGTTTTTCGTAAAGAAATTATTTTTCTTACTGGTTATGGAATTATACCAAACGAACGTACTTGTAAAAATTCTCATAAAATGAAACTGTATTGTGGAAAGCAAATCTTGTGGAAATGTAACGTTGAAGAGTGCAATCAACATTTGGGTATGAGAACCGGAAATTGGTTTGAAGGTAGCCGAATTTCATTTGTGACAGCGGTTTCAATCAGTGCTAAAAGCAATAGCCAAAAGATTTCTGCCGAAAAAATAATTCTGCAACTTATTCAAATTCGAAACCAGAAGGGTTTAATTGCTATTTTATATTTTAAAACAAAATAATATAAAAAACTGTATTAAAAATTATCTGTAATTAATAAATGTACATTTTCTTTCTATTCATACTTTTTTACTCAAACTTACAAATCGCGCCAATCTGGTTGCGATAATACGTAAGTACTGATGTGAAATTAGAGGATTTGTAAGTCAAGGGGCTGTTGTGTACCTTTTAATGCATTCAGACTGAGCCAAGTTTTATCTTGTAAGGTGATGTTTGGGATGCCTTGAATATAGGAAAGATATATACAAAGCATGTCGTCAACAAGTATCATTCTGTTAATATGTCCAGTTTCCTGGTTCCACTTTTAACTGAGCTTATCTTGCATTTGTTCTCGCTCTAGCAAGTAATGCCTGTAAGGGCTTCGAAAAATAGAATCTCAATCACTATGCAAAATTCTTCCTATGGGAAGAGATTAAAGGTTGTATAGAGAAGTGACCGCTTGTAACATTGCAATGACATCAGAAGGTACAAGATGAGCTCTGGGCAGTCTTGAGTCTGAAATGCTGCATAAAAATCAAGTTGTCACTTAGATCAAACTTCAAGTAATTAAATTTCACATAAGACATTCCTGTTGGTAACAAACATTGGTAGCACAAAGCATAATAAATCATCTAAAAGTAAGCAAGTCCTTAAACTGCAAGGAAATAAACTGTGTATAACAGCTACCATATACTCTAGAGCTCATCAATCTGAGTCTTGCGCGAGTCAGCCGCATTACCTACTAAGCCAGCATTCACTACCTCAGTTTTCGATTAAAGGCATTTCCATTGATTGGTTTGTATAAGCACTTTATAATTTACATACTTCTTTTGGTGTGTTCAGTAGTGTTGAGAAGTTTTGTTTTGTAATGTTCAGCTGGATTACACTAGTGAAGAGAATAAAAGTTGGTTAAATAAAAAAAAAAAAAAAAAACTTTTGTGATGCAACAGATCTGTTGACCCAATATCAGATTTTTAATTTTGTCTTCTAAGACAATATCTGTTTATTTTTTGTGTATATTAGATGTCTTCCACAGATTTATCTGTTTGTCTTAATTCTGCAGGGGAGTGGGGAGAAATTTCCAAAAGAGTGGCTTGTCTCATGTCATCAGACTGAATAAACTGCTCGAGTGAAATCTTCACATTTTGAAAATAATTTAATTTTTGGTGCAGCTGGCTATTTTTGATGTAATATCAGTAGTTTTACTATTCCTTTCCTTTTCAGAAGTTGAAAAGTTCTGTATATGTAAACTATAGTTTTATTTTCTGGTTATTTCTGGCTTTATTAGAACTAGGATAGTAATATTTTTATGGAAAGAAAGAAAAATTTACAGGATATGTAGTAAAAATTTGCAAAACTTAATTATCTTGGGATTTACTAATGATTAATAATTTATATTAACATTTCAGAAAGGGGTTATAAATTCTACCAGAATTGAAACAGTAACAAAACTGACTAAGAGGTAACTAAATTATGTAACTGAAGTTTGCATTTATAAATCTATCAAATTCTTAAGACATTCAACACCATTATTTTACATAAAAATTATGTTTTAATTAGTGTTTAAATATTATTCAATACATACCTTAGATTTCTTCAATATGTAGCATATTTTTTTAAAAAGGGATTTTTTGACATTGACAAATAAAAGTGGGTGACTTATACATTACTTCAGAAAATAACTTTTCATATTCTAGAAATTAAGCAAAATTTACACTAACTAAAGATTTTGGAATGTGATTACTTTGCAGTGTATTTTTAATTAAATTCTTATGGGAAATAGCATAAAAACTCTTACAGTAACAAAATGTTCTAACAGTTATGATAGAAATTTTTAAAACTTAAAAGAAAATGTCTGAAATTTTGAGAATTTTACTTTTATGAAAATAATTGTGGAAATTCATGGGTAAAGTTACTGCCTGAATTATAATTCAGTGTGTATAACAGGGATGAAATTTTGAAAGAAGCATATATATCTGCTTATGATAACAGTGGAGTACCACTTGTAACTTAAATTATAAATGTATTGCATTCTCTTTCACTGATAGTTTTTAATAATGCCTCAGGCCCACTAGTGTCTGTTTTGAAGATTGCTGAACACTAGCAATTTGACCCTTGCTCAAATCCTTGCAGATGCATTTCTGCGTAGAAGTTTTCTTGATTTTGTGGGTTTTCCTTATGTGCAACATAAATGCAAAAAAGTTTCTTTTAAATGTTTGTAAAGTTATCCCTCCCATTTGACAAGTAGCCTTCGCCTGCTTTGACAAAATCTGTATAATCCAATTCAAACTGCTCATTTGAGATGGTTACAATACATATGCATAGTATGCCTTGTACGTCAGGTGGTTAGCTTGAATCTAATCATGTATTTTTTGCATGTACCCTACTTTAGAATTTATGACATATTTTGTTTGCTACCACTTGCTAATTGAATAGCGTTTAATTTGCCATTTGCTGCTGCCTTACAACTTGCTGCATGTGTTGTCTTGATTAAGCATTGTTGCATTTAAATTGACCTTGTATTGAACTTTTATGTAGTATAATATTTTATTACTGTGAAAGGGAATATTTATGGTCACAAAGTATGTCACCTTTATTTCAGTGGTACATAAACAGTTGCATATAGGGAATTCTTAATATAGCATGTAAATAAGTTAAAACTTGATATTTTTGTCCTATATGGTGTAACAGTTTTGCATGTTTATCTGTAGCTCTGTTTTATCTTAAAAAGGTTGTTTATGTATTGTATATTTGTTATGCCATAAAGTTACACTTTAAACATTTGACTATCTATATGAACCATGTTGTTTATCTCAAATTTTGAAATATATTCCTGTAATATTTTAATTTTTAGTCATGTTCTTCAAATATAAAATAATACTGTAGGAAAATGTGAATTAATAATACACAAATATTATTTTAGGCACAATGGATCCTAAAGATTTCCTAGCAGAAGCGCAAATTATGAAGAAATTGCGCCATCCAAAATTAGTGCAACTATATGCTGTATGTACATTAGAAGAACCAATTTATATCATAACAGAATTGATGAAAAATGGAAGCCTATTGGAATTTTTGCAAGGTATTTTTTAAAATTTGTATGTTATGTGTTAAGTGAAACTAGTAAGTTAATTCAGTGATTTTTATTTTTAGTTTGTTCTTCAGGTTTTAAAGACTTTAAAGAAAAGAAGTTTCTAGTCATCATATATGTATATACACTTGTATGGGCTATACAATTGCCGATTTCCTCAGAACAAAAAGTCACTGCATTACCGTGCTGTGCTGTACAGTTGTGCAATGCCTTGGTATTAAGGCAAGCTTGTGACTTTGCTGTACGATTTCACATTGTGATTTTTATTAATGTTATTAGAGTGGGCAAGAAGTGACTTTGACATAAGTATGGCAGTATGTATGACACTGATAGTTTGCCGCTCAAAAGTCCCTGCAATGGGCTTAAAGATAGATATTCATGCCACTTGTTTTTAATCTGATGCATTGCTCAAAAAAGTCTAGTATTCCATGAAAACTTAAAAATATATCATCAGACATTAAACTAAGTTTTAAAATTGGAGATGATTCTAATGATATACAAAAATGATCATATCATATTTGTACAACATCAAATTATTGCTCCTGAAACTCTCGGTATGAGCATAGCATAAATAATATTGCTCATAGAATCATTAAAATATTTATCATGCTAAGCATAAAATTTGAGAATTGCATTAGTGATCATGGTTGATTTTGAAGTTACTGATACTATATATGCATGTATGATGTGCTGAGAAAGCAATAGAAGTCATGTAATTCTTACAACTTGTAGAATTTCCAGGTGGTGTTCGAGACAAAAGTCGAGTACTCAGTTAGGTCTTTCGAGCTCCATAAAGGTAGAAATATTAAACGTTGTTTTTCTTTATACTATTCAAGAGTTAATGAGATGTTTAACAGGGTTTTAAAATGAGTAATTTTATTTTCATCCTGAGAGCTTGCTTCCATTAGAGGCATTGTTCTGCAATTTTTGATTAATTGCAGAACTGTTACAACCAAAATAACCCTGTCTGCATTATTGAATGGTTGGAAAATTTTTTAAAAGAAGTTGAAATTGGTAAAGTAATTTTAGTTCATGTGAAAAATAAAAGTGTAAGAGAAATTTTGAAAATAAATATGTAAATGAAGTTTAAAATTTACACACAAAAGAAGCCTGGCATTCAGCTTATAATTTGAGATGGTCACATTGATTGATTTTATCCCAAGTAAAATGAAAATTAACAAAAAAATTAATAGTTTTTATATTTTAATGTAAAAAGTTTCCCATTCAGTTTAAGAATAATTTTTGTAATTTTAAAACTAAAATTGTGATTTCTTTTTCCCTTTATCCATATGTGTTTTTTTGGAAATGATAAAACGAGTGATATAAAACGCAGCGCATTACAGGGAAACTGCAGTTGCCATTTGCAACTTGCAACATTTGCAAAGGCATAAACAATATTTGATTGGAGTGCATGTCGGAGAAAAATGATTGCATCGCTGTTGCAAAAACCTTCAAAGGAAAAAACAACACAATTCAAGAAAAAGTAATCTGGTGCATCTCAAAGCTTTGAAAGACTCATTTGAATTTTATGTTCTCACAGTTGAAAAGAGAGTGCTTAAATGATTTTCAGTGGATATTGAATGTGTTCAGCGTAAACAAAAAATCAACTCAACCGAATTCATGTTTCCCATAGATTTGATGTCTCACAATAAATAAATAATTCAAAATGAAATTATGCTGGATTTGGGGTTGCATACAACATGAATTCAAAATTTTGTCAGAAAAGGAAAAACTTGTCTTGTTGTCTTCTTTAACTACATACCCCTGTAAAGCAGAATTTTCTTATCTTTACAGATATCAAAACAATAAACGGAATCTCTGTCAGTGGAGAACAAGGCATTCATCTGCAGTTATGAACATAAAATAATTTACATTCCTTTGCTATCTACATCTTTTTAATGCCCCTGTAATACTGTTTGTAAACATGATTAACTTGTAAGAAATAGCACTTGTAGACTAAGGGGATTCGCTAAATGACTTCATGAATGGATAAGTTTGTGAAAAATGACTTTAAAATAACCTGCCTGGGTGATGAAAAAAAAAATAGTTAAATTTTTCCTTACAGTTACTGTCATTTATTGATTAGGTGTAAACTGAATCATTAAATGTATTGTTATTATTCGAGGGTAAGTTAAAATTATATCCATCTACAGTGCCATTCAGTAAGATTTGAGGTGTATCATTGTGCAGTGTGTTGCCAGTAAGCACCAAAATAAGAGATGGATGAGTCAAAAGGTATTAGTCATGTTAGAACATTTGTTATGGTAGGCAACCATATAGAGAGCAGATGTTTGTGTGACACTTGTTAAGTCATGACCTCTGAACTGACTACTGTATGTCTTGCACTTTCAGTCATATTAAGCTATGCTGGATAAGGTTCATAATTTATATTGGCTTATTTAATCCTCTAAACACTATAGACACATTTACAGACACATAGAATTCAATAGTTGTTGGAGTTCTGAAGCTAAATTTAAGAAGCCATGATCAGACATGTATCATATTCCTTACTTCTGGATTTCCAAACATGTAGGAGTAACAATTAAAGGTAATGTGCTAGCAAACATCACAGTAAAGTCTGCTGTGGAACTAACTGCTCAGTAGACTAAATGGATTGTTCACCTCACTAGTCCCTTTCAAAGATATCAGCATTGTCATCAAGCAGTACATCTTATTTAAATATTGGTGATACTGTGGCATTCAGCTTCATAAGAAGCTGAGAAGTATAAAACATAAAATGAAGTGTGGGAAGGTTGCCAAAGACCGGAAGGAGAAATTCCTTTTAACTGACCTTAGAACCAGACACTCTCAAGTTACACGCAATTATTTTCTAAATGCCAAGAGTGAGCCCATTTGCACCAAGTTTAATGCTCATTTATCAGTGGGTCACATTTTTACCCTTTCACGATGGGTGTATCATATGCATCAGTACTTAATCCTCTTATGTAATGATATCCTGCTTTGTGCAACTCACAAATAAGTATGATCTCCCAAGCCGAGGTATTTTGCATCACTAAGCGAATTCATTAAAATATTTATAAATTGTTTTGATTTTTTCTGTAATGATATCCAACAGTAATATAATTGTAAATACAGAATACCAAAAGATTCTGAAAAATTTTTAATTGTAATCTAAATGCAAAATAAAATATTTTGACTCATCTTCATGAAATGGTATAAAAAACTTATTTAAATAAGGTTTTAAATTTTTTCATATCTAAACATATGAAAAAAAATAGTATGATTAAATATTATAGCAAGAATGATTCAGAAAGAAGGCAGTGTGTGATAATCTAGTTGCTATCGTTTTATTAGTTATGAAACACATTTTCAGGTCGAACTTTTTAATTACTCCCAGCAGAATAATTAATGCTAGGAATCCCCTCAATTGAAGCCTATCTACAGAAGTATGTTGATTTTGGATGAAGATGGATTTTCACTCATCTTTTGTTCATAGAAATTATTAGTTTCTTCAACTGTTATGTTCCATTGATTATCGAAAAAAATGGTGAAAAAAATCGGTTTCATTCACATAACTTTGAATTAAGTTTACTTCTGCCGTTATTGTAGTATATTCATAAGGCTTTACTTAATAGATCGAGTTTATGATGGAGTAGTCATTGTTCTGCTGGATTGTGAGGTGACAGCAAAACAAACTTCCAATTCAGTCTCTGACAATTTTTCGGTGTCAAAATAGTCACTCATGTGCTTTATAATTTGAATACACTCTTCTTCCATTAAAAACTTCTTTCTGTGAGATATCACCCTATTAGTGTAACTCTCTTAACTGCTGTAAAAAAACTTACGTCTGCTATCTAAAGAAGATGCAAGCTGAATACAAACCAGAGTTCCTAAAATCACAGCTCCACTCCCAATCTTCCCATTGGAAAAAAAAACAAATTGAAAGCATCGGAAACTGTTTGGTGTTTATATCATGTGAAGCCTTGTTTATATCATGTGAAGCCTGAACTGCACTTCGGCTGGATTTTGTTTAATCTAAATGAATCACCAGATAAATAATATGTTCAAATAAGCGAACTGTATCGGACACTAAGCACCATCTAGTGATTTAAAAAATTCTAAAAGAGTGTGTATATTTGAAAGTGCATATATGACACACCCATCTGGAAGATAATGCAAGTTGCGGTATACCAGTGCATCACCCGGCTGTTTGTGACATTCGGGACTGATGCATGTATGAGACACCTGTCTGTAGAGGAACAGACCATTGCAAAGGGATTAATAGAGTATCCATATTTTAAGAAACTACATTTTTTAGTAGTTGTAACTTTTCTCTGGACTGTTTAATTTGAAAAGATGTCAGTTTTAATTTATTTCAACATGCAAGAGAAACTGGTTTGTTGTATATAATCTGAAGTGGTTTTAAAATGGTTTAATGGTACTTTTCCTGTTTCGCCGGCGCAAATCTCGCCAAGCAGACTTTATTGACGACAACATACAGTATACACATAAAAAATTGTAACAAATGTTAGTTCTAAGAATTTTTAATTTTGAAGGCAAATATTAAATAACATTTTAATAGCGTTTAAAATTTTGTAAAAAGCCAATAAATAAAGATAATAAGTAACATTAACATTAGTTTAAAAATTTACTATTCTTTCATAGTTCAACATCTTGATTCGCTGGTTCGTATCACGTGACCCTAAGTGATTTCATCTCATGTAAACTACGCTACAAAAATCTAATTCTCTCAGTAATTATCTACATTAATTTCAAGTTAAATCTTAATTTGGAATGCAAGTTTAAATTCAAGAATTACTTCAATTCATATGAATAGCTTATGTAAAATCTCAGTGCTTTATTTCGCTAATGCATTCTCATTAGAATTGATGAATTTAACCCTTGACTTTGCCTTTTATATTTTTTGCCTTTGAATTAGTAATGTGATGAATTCATGCAGCTATTCATCACATCATTTAACATTATGTATTATCATATGATCTTAGTTGGTTTTAGAGGTTTTATCATACATTAAAAATTATGGGTAGAACTTTTAATTGTGTTTACAATTACTCTGTTTAACAACGTTGACCATAAGTTTGGTGAATCAACCTGTTGGCTTATGTGCCATAAAATCCACCAATCCTTAAAACCTGGATTTTATGACCTGGTGGCCACAAAATCCACCAGGTCTTATTTGAATTTTCCAAGAAATGTTTTGCAAAAATACTTTTGCATATCGTTAATTACTGTGATAATTAGGGCATGGTAAACAGTTTAATTTTTTTTAATTAATGATGTATATAGTCTCAAATGAATTTTAAGGAAATGTAATGTGGTTTTTGTTCCAGTTGGTAATTGAATTTCATTAATAAAAGTATTGTTGCTTTAGTTTGAACCACATTTAAAGGATCATAGAGCCGCAATTTGGCCATGCATGCTACTGAATATTCAACTTTCTTGATTAATCTTGAAAATTTTGCCTCATCAAAACAGTAGATTTTAGGTGTAGTAAACTGTATGGTTTCTCGGCTAGTAGTTCTGGTGTTAACGGTGAAAACAGAACAAAAAGAAATTTTCCATATAATATAATTTTAATCATTAATTTCACTTCCTTAGTTTGGAATAAGTATATTTGCATTAATTCATTCATAATTCCATCTTTTAAATAACCATCAGCATTATTTTGCTAAATGTGGCTGTGGAATTTTATACATTATCTGTAGAAATTTGTTTTATAATTAACAAAAGCAGTTATGGGTAATTTAACTAATCTGTATTTTTTTGGTGACTGGTTTTAAATTGAGTTTATTATAAATATTAATGATCAGTGGACATTAAATAAATCTTTTGATAACTTTTATGATTATAATAGTTGTGTACAGTGGAGATTTGACTTTATCTTCAGTTCTCAAAAGTATAGTTTGAATGTTCATGTGTTGATGAGTGAAATTTTTCAATCGTATCTTTTAATAAAATACTCTTTATTTGTTTATTCTATGTAGGGCGAGGAAGAACGCTAAAATTGCCACAACTTATAGACATGTCTGCACAAATAGCTGCTGGAATGGCTTATCTTGAATCACAAAATTATATCCATAGGGATCTTGCAGCACGAAACATTTTAGTAGGAGACAGTAACATCGTTAAAATAGCTGACTTTGGACTGGCTCGTTTAATTAAGGTACTACATTAACTATTTACTAAAGAAATTTCAAATTATTTGTATTTAAACTTCAGTCTGTTATATATTAACAGCCTTGCTAAATTTTTCCAGTCTGAAGCATATCACAGTAAAAATGAAATTACTATATAATAATATTATATATCTCAAATATGTATAAATAATTCTAATGAAATATGGCTCTTATCATTTTGACTGTTCAGTTTTGAAGTCACATTTCATCTGAAAAATCCATAAATTTTCCACAGAAATTTAGGAGTGGTTCGTTGTATCACAGAATATCTTGTGCTCTTGTGATTTAGTACTACTATTAGAAAGTTTGTGGGTCTGATGTGAAACATAGTATCAACAACTTGCAAAAATGTCTCTTTCTTTGAAAGGAGAAGACTTTGCATTTATCTATTTTGGAGTGAGAAGGAGAAATTAGTTGGCATTCGTTAAAGAATAGTCTTGCTCAAAAAGTAGTATAATGGTGCTTGTATGCCACTTCAGCTGGTTAACAAATGGCAAAAATCAACTTAAATTAACACAGTTTGTGCTGGTGTATGAGATAAAATTATCTGATGCAGAGCCGGTGCTCACTTTGTTAATGAATTTTCTATCTTCATTAAATCCAGGAATTTCTGAAGCATTGATGCAGATATAATGAATCTGACTTGAGTGTTCTTCCTGCACTCACTAATTACAGTTGATTGTTATGGCATGAATGATGCTCTCAGTGATAATTTCAGATTTATATTTATTTAGTTTTAGATTTAAAGGAAATAATTGTTTTTTCTGCTATTGGTTGAGAACTGTTATGTTTTCCTTTCTGTTCACATTGTATCTACTTCCTTTTATACTGTAATGTTCACATGCTGTCACCTTTGTGGGAAAATATGTGCCCATAGTTTTTTAAAGAGTGCAAGATAATGATGGATATAAATAAGCATGAAATTATTAAAATGGTGTGTTTAAATTTTCTAATTGTTTAATTTGTAACTTGGATAAAATGATCTTATAGCATGGTTATAGGAGAGTTATTTAAATATGAAAATGTGAATGAATGTAATAACAATTTCAAAATACTTATTACTAGTTTTGTGTAAAAGTTAATACTTTTATGATTATAGTTATTATATTAGTAGGTTTAAATTTTTTGAAAATATTAAAAAAAGCTTTAAAAAGGGGGAATTTGGTTGTATAAAAATGTAACTTTTTAGTGTTTGCATTCATCAGTTTTTTGATCAAATAATTTTGTGAAACATGTAAAATTCCAAAAGTAAAAAAAAAAAATGAAGCAATTCTAATATAATACTTCAGATACAGGTAATGCAGGTTAATGGTAAATTTTGTTTTAAAGCTTATAAAATCAATCTTTATAATTCCTTTTTATGTTTACTTAATAAATCATGATTAGTAAATCATGATTTAGACAAGAATAAATCATGATTCCCCCCAATTGCATTTTATTTCTTCTATAAGATCACTACTAAACTGAATATTAAGATTATATATTAAAAATCATTTTTTCTAGACTGGAATCTGCAAAATGTGTGATTCTTTGGTGAATTATCATTACAGTAGTGCAATTTAATACTCTAATTTTTCTAAAGAAACATACAGAATTCCATATGTATATCTCATTGGTGTAATTTATTTCACAATTCTATTATACACTGTACCAATAAGTATTTGGACACATATGCAAATGACGATATCTGCGGTCCTAAGGTACGTCATGAACTCCGTCGGTATATATCGTGTAGGAAACAGCATCTGCTTTAGTCGCATGCAAGATGCCTTGCAGTTCGGAGCTCTCTGATTTCGAGAAAGGTATAATTATCGGGTATCACAAATGTGGCCTATCCTTAAGGTACATATCTAGCGATCTGAAGTACCCAAAATCGACAGTGGCCTATGTGATTAAGAAGTGGAAGGTGAGCGGTGATTGTCGGAATGTGCCCCGAGTCGCAACCAACGAAACTGGGAGATGACACTGACGAGGGCTGTCCAGAGAAATTCGGAAGAACCGCACCCAACCGATGGCCCTCATCCGCGAGGAGTTTCAACAGGCATCCAGGAGTATTGTTTCAAGAAATACCACCGTAAGAAGCACATCTGCTTGGGTTTCATGGTCGTGTGCTGCCCTAAGTCTTTGATCACAAAGTCCAACCGCGCTGCTTCGTTAATGTGGTGCAAAGCACATCGAAATTGGACCGTAGATCAGTGGAAATGGGTTTTTGGAGTGACGAATCAAGGTTACCCTTTACCGTTCGGATGGCAGTGTCTGAGTCTGGCATCTTACCTGGAGAACGTCCTGTCGCATTCATTGGCCCACAGTCAGTTCGGCGGAGGTGGAATATGGTCTGGGGGTGTTTCTCCTGGTATGGGTTGGGACCCTTCATCCCCATTCATGGTAAGCTCGACTCCGATGCCTACTGCATTATTTTGGATGACAATGTTCTTCCTACGTTGTGGCAGTTTTACGGGTCGGACCCTGTTACTTTCAGGTCGACAGAGCCAGTTGTCATGTTTCGACGTTAACCAAGGCTTGGTATGGTGCCAACGGAGTTCATTGAATGGATGGCCTGCCCGAGTCCAGACTGAAACCTATCGAGAACCTTGGGCGAGTGCATCGCCGAATTCAGGTGTGCACTACCCGTGCAAAATCGGTGAAGGACTTCTATGTCTTCTCCAAGCCAAGCGGAAGCAAATACCACTCTGTCATACAAGACTGTGGAAAGTATGCCCCGTAGGGTCCACGCTGTAATTACCTCTTGGAGGCTTACCAACTATTGATTTTGAATAAAGTTAGTTTTTCTTTTCTATCACAGGTGTCCAATTACTTATTGGTAGTCAGTGTATTTTTGGTGGTGTAGCTGATATATTTGAATGTGGGGAGAAAAGCATGTGGAAACTGTGTAACATAAAAGATCTTAATTTTTCTAATTTCTGATATAATTCATTCCTATGCTTAAGTGTATAGAGGATGCTGATAAAGATAAATCAGTGTTCAGCAGGTTATATGGAATATAGTTACCATATTAGTTCCATTAGATACTGAAAAAAAATTGAGATTTTTTTTTTAAGCAAGAAGGTTATTCTCATAGGCAAAACATAGTTTGTGTAAATTAAAAAAAAAAAAGAAAAGAAAAGGGGGGTATTTTAATTAGTATAATAATGAGAATTACTTGTGATATTAACTTATTTTTAATAACTTGAGAGTGAAATTTGTTGTGAATCAAAGCATTCATTTGCGAGCTAGATGAAGGATTTTTGTGAATAAACTGCAGAAGGTGCTTCTCTCCTATTCTATTCTATTTACCAGCTTTAGGATTTCAAAATATACCTAATTACATTTTCTGTAACTTTTTATTCACTGTATTGTATTTCAATTTTAATTGTATTATATTTAATTATCATTGCATATTTAATCAGCATGGAATGAATCTCTTATTTTTTACTTACTTTATTCTAATCACTTTAAAGCCATTTGGCAAAGACTAATTATAACTTAATACAAATCATGTACCCTTTGAAAGCTGTTTGCTGATCTGACAGCATGTCTTCAGCTTACTAAACAAAGCAGATTTTTCATTTTTGTGTTTGTAAACAAGTAAAGTTACATGTACATAAAAATTTGACCAGATGAGTAAAGTACAGGATCAGGAAAACCTAGGGTGTACCAAGGGACGTTTTTGCCACTTAAAATTATCGAGGGTTGGTAATAGCTTTTTTTAACTACATGTCTGTCTACATGTTTTAACTTACATGTATTAAAACTGATGAAGTAATTTTCATTTATATTGGTGCATTTCCTTTTACTTTCTCATTTTTTCTTATACATACATTTAAAGGTGACCTTTAAAAAAAACTTCTAATATTTATAGATATCAGATTTTTTTTCGCTTAATGTGCTTAATGTTCTGTGAATTTCTCCGAAAATCATAGCAATTAGTTAGCAACCCTAAAACCTCTTTAACTTCTTTAATGAAGTCATATCCTGAAAACAAGGTTTCTCTACACATCAGAATAAAAGTTGTTGAATTCTGGTTATTTGCTATTGATATTAATGGCTAATTTAAATCCTAAAACTTTTTATTTTAATTTATAGGAGGATGAGTATGAAGCAAGAGTTGGTGCGAGATTCCCTATAAAGTGGACAGCCCCTGAAGCTGCAAATTATAGTAAATTCTCTATAAAATCAGATGTTTGGTCTTTTGGTATACTTTTGACTGAGCTTGTCACTTATGGCCGAATACCATATCCTGGTAAGCATAAGATTGCCATATCGGATTTCATCACAACATTGTTTGCTAGCAGAAAAAGAATTGATATTAAATTTCAGTCTGTGTTTATCTCATGAATACTGTATTTTGTTGACTTGATAATGAGTTATTTGTGCATCTCTTTAATAGCTTTTGCATGTCTTTTTTATAGGTATGACAAACGCTGAAGTGCTGCATCAAGTTGAGCATGGCTATCGAATGCCATGTCCTCCTGGATGCCCTTCTGCTCTGTATGAAATAATGTTAGAATGTTGGCATAAAGATCCTATGAAACGACCAACTTTTGAAACATTGCAATGGAAACTTGAAGATTTCTTTACCATGGAGGGATCTGAATATAAAGAAGCATCTATAGCCTACTGACAACTACCTCCACGCCCTAGGTATGAATGGGGTGTGCAGCAGCTTGGCAGGAATGTACTAATTCCACACTATGATCTCAATGGATAAAAACTTTGCCTGTGAAAGATGGTTATAAACCTTTCAAATTTCTGACTCTATTTGTTGTGAATTTAAAACCAATCATGTTAGCTTTTTTCAGTTGTCAAGTTCTATAGTTTACCTCAGATGCCACTGAAAATAAATTAAGTTTTAAGTCAATTATGTAAGTTCTTACCTTATGCAGGAATACTGAAATATATGTGATGATTGAGCAACTGTGCTTAATATGTGATTTTAAATTATTTTCAGCCTCAAGTAATGCGATTTCGAACTTAACTATTGACCTGATAATGGTAAAAGAATAGATTTAGGATAATAATGTAAATTAATTTTTATCTGTGATGCTGTAGTAATGTGGCTTATGGTGTCTTCGAATGACTTCATCATCATTATAATGTCCTAAATGTATAGCAGTGTTCTGCCAAGTTTTGAGTCTGCTCTCTTAGTTGAGTCTTGTCATATTAGCTGGTTGGAAACATATGCAATGATGGTTTAGTCATATTTGTCCTCATGTTGTATTTATTAATAAAGTTTCATTATTTCACTCTTTTATATACTCAGTGCTGCTTGATTCAAGTCAGATTTTTGATACCAATGTCATAATAACTTGATTATTGCAAGTGCTAAATCTGTACAATTTTTCCAGTTTGTCATACCTGTATAGTAAAAGAATTAGATGCTCATGTTGTTAATGATAGATTAGTGTAAGTTTTATAGACTAAACATATGTCTAATGCATCATTTTTCTTACAGCTACTTAATGTTCCGTGAGGTTAGAGCAGTAAATAATACTGGGGCCATGTCATCAACTATATTGCCTTAAGAGTAAAATCTAGCTGCTGTGCATATCGTAATACTGCTGTGCCTCTGGATGGAAAATAATTTTTTAATAAAATATTGTATACAAAAATTAAGTTTTTAAATTTTCAAGCATCAATGCCATGCAGATGCCATAAAAGTTTTCTAATTTTTAACTATTTTTATAGTTTTGGGTTCACAGATTTCTTTAATAAATATCCTCTTAGTATCTAGCAACTGTTTAGTGTTTAATAAGCATCCTTTGTGTATATGTATGTGAAAAATGTCATTGAAACTTAATTAGCAAATTATGTGATGCATTTATAAATTTTGTATGTCAATATCAATCATTAGTTGTATTTTATTTGTAAAAATAAAGTTTTCCAGCACAATTTGATCCTGCAGATTTATGGAAAAGTGTATCTATCCATTTCAAGGATGATGCCTTAACTTTAATCCATTTCTTCAATAAAACTGTCAGGCAGGTGACTCTGTATTTATGAATTATGTTGAATGTAGTATTTTCATTTTGAAGTCATCATCTTCTTTTTCATCATTGAACACTTGCTTTCGTGAAATATGACTTTTGTACGACTGTCAAGTACCATTACGTGTCGCTAAAATTGTTTCAATTTTTAATGTGTGTAATAATTAGTTTGTATTAATTGAGTTAAAATAAAATATTTTATCTTTTTTGTTTTGCCTGTTGCTTAATGCAAGTTTTTCAAGGAATTTTCCAATTTAGTTTTCTCTCTTTTTTGACCTAACTTGAAATGTTTAAGATATGTATCTGATATATTTAATATATTAAGTAATTTTAGATTCACTTTTAGCTCTTAGTTTAAAAACTAAAATATGTGTTTATTATTTCTATTGATTTAAGTTTTGCAGCTTTGAAGAAATACTATGCATCTGCTTAAATTTTTTCTGTGACCTTTTTTAAAATTTCCTATGTAGGCATTTCATTACATCTGTATGCTTTTCCCAGATGTATCTGTTAGCCAATTCATTCCTTTTTTTAATCATGTAAAAGTACAAAATGATTTAGTACCTGTATTATCTCCTAACTACCAACATTAATTGTAAATGTCTTCTTGGAAACTGACAGTTGACTGGAAAAATTATTTTAAATATGTATTTAATTTTTAAAATTTTGCGTTTTTCTCTGCTTTTTAATATTTTTTTTCATTTTTTGCTTTGTTAAAAGTTTTATTGTGAAGCAGTTAGCTTGAAATTTATAGTTTCTGTGCACATTTTCCACAGGCTGTGTTATATGACACAATTAGTAATCATTCTTATTTTGTGTTAACCTCCATTTTGGCTAAAATTGCTAAGCACGGTGAAAAATTTTATCTTCACTTCCTCAAACTGTTATTATTTTCCTATGAGAGCTTAGTTTCGGTTTGAATAATGTTCATTTAAGGTGGTTACTTTCTCAGTAAATGGGAATTTTTATGAATTCTTCCCATCATTGCCAAAATTCTCTTTTATAGGAAATAACTACTTGAGAATCTACCTTATTATGAAACTATTTTCGAATTGTCATTCTATATAAAAAGAAATTATTTCAAAAAAAATTCTATATTTTCCACCAGTGAAACTTCTTTTATTGAGTAGTTTAAATACAGCATTCAGCAGTGGTATGTATAAATTTTTAATAGTGAGCCCAGTGAAAATTAAATACTTCTAAAAAAATTATTGGAATTATTGGAATTCTTGCTTGAGTTGCGTGATTTGTGAAGTTGTTCTGAAAGGCTGATGAATGTGGCTGGTATTACAAGTAAGGTAATAAATGTGTTTGTGTATGATGAGAATATTTCTGAAGAAAACATAGTTATAACTGAATTTGAATGTTAAATATTGTTATGGGCAATCAGGTCCATAATGGACTGAATGTGCACATAACTGGCAATAGCTGTTTAAAATTTTATTTTCCCGAAAGAAATCTTTTATAGTTCTAGAATGTTACATAAAAGTAATCCTACAGCTTAATCTCAGTATGACAAAAGAGTTACCACTTTAAACTACTAAGAACGTTAAACACAAGACAATATAAAAAGCTTAAAATGCGTAAATGTGCACAGTAATCTCTCAGTACTCTGAGCCAAACTCTGACCTTCAACTGAAGCTGTCTTTGGTCTTAATAGTTTTTTACTGGATGCAGAAATTTCCAGTTCTTTCGACTTCTCAAAATTGCTGGAAGGCATGCATATACAGTTAAGGTTATATATGGGTCAGATTAGTTGCAGTTATACAGAGATTTGACCAAACAGTTGCCAAATTAGGTGAGAGCAAAAGAAATTAGTTCCATCAAACAAAATCATCATCCTCAATGTTAAATGGACTTATCCCTGTAATCTTATTTTTCCGGTGACACATTGTAATTCCAGGCCTTTCAATTTACATCATACAAAATATACTACAATTTAAGCGTAATTTCACTAAAAATATTCATACAGATTCAAAAATGTTACATTGTCACCTTCCCAAGAACTGCGTAAAAGAACTCAAGAACTGTCCTGGGCAGTATAATTCCTTAACAGAAAGCTGTATTTACAACTAAAGAAAATCCATGCAATACTAAAATAATTTCAATATATAACATACAACAAATCAAATACTAAACCGATAAATAAATGCATGAATTTACAAATTTACATGCATGGAAAGTCTTCGTTATTCAGCAGTGACCTCCTATCGGACTGCTATGTAGTTTTTTAAAATGTCCGGTATCTCATCAATATCAGTTGCCAATAAAACACCTTTCCATCATCCAATTTGAATTTCTACCCTGATTCTAAATAAGGCATTAACATTTCCGTGTGACCATTCTTTTTGATAACAGATTGTGATGTCATTTTCCTGGAGTCTGTATACATCTTGCTATTTGGCCTTCAGGATTAAACAGCCTGATATATGATGATGCATGATATGTGCGGAGCAGGAATTTTCTACTATGGAGGCAATGGTGTTCTATGGTTTTATGATGACACAGGTAACGGATACAAGTACTTTGATGCGATATTGGACAGTTAGGCAGGGGGAGTCCCATGATGCCTGCTGTGCTAAGATCTGCTTCATACTATAGTTTGACAAGGAATGCAAAGAAGTGATGTTTAAAAAAAGCTGCATTTTATTGTGAGGATGAAGTGTGCGACTGCAAAAAAGGAGAAATTAAATGACCTTGCACACTTCCAGGCAGGATAGCCTTGATTTTTGCGATAAGTGCCTTTTATTTGATGTTATAATATTGGTATGGGATATCATCTGTATTATCAAGAAATCTGAGATGGTGGCTGGATGTCAGTGGACAGCTCGTCGGGTATGTTCGGGAGTTCCTGTGCTACAGATGCACTGGTCCGTATTGCTTAGGCATCGTTTATGTAAATGAGCCATGACTTGTGATATAGCATGTTGGCTGAGCTGTGGAAGTAGATCTTTTATATCTGATTTTTGAAAAGGCTATATAGGCTAATGTTTACTGCATGAGTTATTGTCATTGCCTGTGACAGCACTTCTGCCTGGAAGATACTATTTTGGGTAAACTTTCTGCTGAACAGAGCAGAGCCAATTCCATTACCTTGGCCTGAACCATCAGTGTAGTGCTGAAATTTAATATTGGAAGTGATAGAATGTTGTCGCAGATGTATACTTCTATTGCAAACTGCTCTGACAGCCGGGTGAATGTGCAGCTTGTTTCTCAATGCTTTATATGCATGATGGTGAAAGTGCATTTGTTTTCTTATTTGGAGAACAGTCTGTAGTGAGTGTAGCTGTTACTTCTGTCTGTAAATGCAGTGGTGTGAGTCCTGCTAGGATATTTGCTGCAGCTAAGGAATTGTACGGTAGGCACATGTGATTTTAATGGCAGTCTTTGGATGCTTAGAAGATGTTTTACTTTTCTACATTGGTGTTAACCATACTACCGCTGCATATATTATGATTTTTCAGCAGCTGTTGTGTAGAGGATTTGTTGTGCAATTGTGGATTCAAGATTTGGCACCTTGAAATTGCCGAGGTTTGTACGCAGTTCTTAGCATCCAATTCCCGAGGTCCATTATATACATTATCCATGTAAGACCTGGATCCCAAGCCATTCCAATGTATACGAGTGAGCTAGTGATATTAATTCTATGTCCCTTCATTTGCATCATGTCTGGTTTAGATAGACACTCGCTACAGTATACTACCGCACGTCCTTGATCGTTTATTTCTTGGGACAAAACGGAACCGACACTTGCAATGCTCTCATAATTATTAAGAATTATTGGTTTGTCGAGTTAACGATACATAAGGATTGTCGCAGATGTTAAAGCTTTCTTCAGTGTATAGAATGCATCCTCGTCCCACAAGAACTTATGCTTTCTCTGTATTAATCTGACAAGGGGTCTTTCAATGGATTAAGAGAGGAAAACTCATTCAGAAATCTCCTACAGTAGGTGCAAAGCCCCAGAAACTTCTCAGCTCGGGGCACTCCAATCTTTAACTGTCTACACGTTAAGGATCTGTACACACATCTTCGCCAGAGTTGGCATATCTGAGGTCAGTCGCTTCCTGTTTGAACGATTTACATTTGGCAGGACTTAATTTTAGATTTGCTTCCTTTAGTTTCTGAAACACCTCCGTAATCTTTTCTAAATGCTCTTCAAAACTTTTCTTGACTGTGATATCATTCAAGAATAACAGACTAGCTTCATAGGAAAGACATATCAGCATTGTCTCCATATTGCCTGCACATTGCACAATCCGAACAGCACCACCTTGAACTGCCAAAGTCTTTTCCCGATCGTAAATGCCGTCTTTTCTCAGTCATCAGGGTGTACTTGTACCTTCCCAATATCGACTTTTTAAATCAGGTGTCGAAAACCGCATGCTTCCAGAAAGAGTTCCAAAAATGTTGCCAGTCCTAGGAAAGGGGAGGCCCACCAGCGACCGAGTCGCTGAACACTGATAGTTCGGTCCGAGGTTCGAATCCCGCGAACGGGCTGGCTGCATGGGCGTTTTCGTGGTTTTCCCCATGAGTAACGTGTATACGAGCCAGTTTCCCTTAGAAAGCCCTCCCTTTAGGCAGATAGCTCTCGTGTGCTTTGCCATAATTAAATACACCACACCAACCTAGGAAAAGGGTAGCTATCTTCGTGATGTCATTCAGCTGGCAATAGTCTACACAAAATCTCATTTTGACCAGGACAGAGAGGTCCAAGAATTTACTGAAGGCTCAATAACGTCCAATGTCCTGTAGAAGTTTTCTTACGTGTTATTGTTTTCTTGTTTAGATCCTGTTTAACCGTAGACATCTTCGATGTTGCTTGTTTAGCGGATGAGCCCCCATATCAATTCTATGCTATTGCGTAGTTGTGCATCTGCAATAAATCCGATGTTAGGCTCTCCGAAGACACAAAAACTGAAGGACTACTGGTTCCTTTAACGCAAGTCACTGGAGTACATGTTACGACGACATTCCCTGTCCTAATGACTTGCTCCTTATCATATACGTTGGCAACTCTCACCAGGATGTCGGTTACCGGAAATTTCTGTTTTCAGTTATAGATTTATAAAGTTAAGTTTTTGTTCTTGCTTGTACTGTGATGTCGTCTTGAACTATTATTTGGTGGACAGATTTAATACCGGACAGGGTAATGTCCACAAAGGCAGAAAGCAATTGTTTTTAAAGTCCAAGCAAAAATTCTATTACCA